TGGTGAATAATCTTTTAGTACATATATTTCTTAGATTAATTGAATTGATACATTTTATATTACTTTTCCAACGTAAATATTAGGACGTCTTTCTCAAGTGTAGCCATTTTGTTATGCACGCACGAGTCACTGTATTGTTACTAAATATGTCTCAATAACATCAAAAATATAGAAATTAATGTAAGATATAAAACAATCATGTATGTAGCTTCAAAGAACATTTAATGCTGCATTTACTAATTACACAATCTTTACAGTAATGGTCTACATGAAATAAATGGAAGCATTAATAAAAGTGTATACATTTTGTCACAGGTACGAAAAACGTCATTTTACGCAATGCATACGTATGACGTCGGGAGCGTCAAATTAGTATCGCCGTGGCTTTTTTTCATGCAGGTCCGTAGTACCAGCTCACAGGTACTTGTGGACAGGAACCACCCCCACCCCACCCCCGATATTCAACCCCGGAACTTGTTGGAGATTTTTCACAAATAATATTTATTATACTTAATCATCATGTGTATATGTACGAAAGCAAAAAATTATGAAAACCCCAAAATGATATCGTTCCTCAAAAAGTACCCTTCTAAACGAAGTATGCATTATAAGAGCCCCCACCCCCTTCTTTCACCAAAATATTTAAAAGATTTTAGAATTTTCGTGATAAAGCAGATTTTCAATCTGGTGAAACGTCTCCATCCCTCCTTTTTTTCATCCCCTATATATATATACTAAATTGATACTTATTTTTTTTTTTAATTCAAAATGACACTAGTTCCACTGAAACGTAGGAAGTATAAAGTACTCTCATTTTTTCTCATCAAAGCGCTTGCGGACGCTATACAGAAATAAAAGACATGCTATGACCTAACTGAAAAAAAAAATATTGAAGGAGGTTGAAAGGGAATAAGACTTATTTATTTTCTCCTTACAAGACAGACAAGTGAGAAAAATAGAAAGAGGAATATTCACTGAGTGTCTTTGGCATTTCATTAATTAAAATTTTATTATTAAGATTTATCAATAAACATCTAAATATTTCAAAAAAGAAGGTTCAAACATTGAACATTATGTGCCCTTTTATTTATTTTTTTTTTTTTATACTTTTGAAAAAATAAATTCATTTATAGATCTAAAATATGTATGTACATGTATAAGGTTCAAAACGTTATAACAACGTTATGACTTTTTAACGTTATTTTGACGTAACGTCAATGTGTACCAACACCGTGCGCAACGTCTACGCTTATAACGTGACAAAAACGTTAAACGATGAACATTTTTACAATGTATTGACCTTTTGAATAATTTTTATTCTTCCACCAAACATTCCTGTTTCACCATTACACGTACATATTACATATTGATAACTGTATTTATACAATTAGAAAAAGATATAATTATAATATTGTCTACATGATACAAACAAATTGGGCTTTGAAAGGCATTTCTATATAGTTCCAAATATTTGATGTTTTAATAAGGCTTTTTCACGATATTGATATTTTTTATGTGCATGCCAGGAAAACCTTAAACAAAAATTTCTAAAAAAAAATAAAAAATAATAATAAATAAATATTAAATAGTTACATAATTTTTTTTTATTTTTATATATAATCATGTACTTCAATCTCATTTTATCTTTCTAAGGGAAATTTTTATTATTATTTTTTTTTATTGTAATTTAAGACAGCTATAGGTGTATCTTAAGTTACTGTATACAGGAAAATTTTCGACTCCGTTTTATTTTGCCCCTTTCGCCCTCTTCTTGAACGGACACATTTAAGACGGAGCGAATTGAAATTACAGAGCATAATTTCTTAAACAGAACTATGATTGGGCGAATTTAAAACGGGGCAAAACTGTTCGCAAGTGCAAAAGGGCGAATATAACCCTGTATACTGTATACAGCATTACATGTATGTCAGCCACGAAGCATCGTTTTGGAAAGGGGGGGGGGGGGAGGAGGAGCCAGGATTTTCTTTTTGACTTATCTGAAAACGTTGACAAAATCAGGTTATTTTTTAGATTTTTTTAAATGAATGAAATGTAAATGTTCATGACAGTCTGATGTAGCTTGAGTATAGCTACATTAATGTGTACCGGGTTTACCTGTGGTCACTAACTGGTAATTTACACCTGTTTACATTCAAACTTTCTGTCCCTGTTGTTAAAATTGATTTCTGTACTCTGTTTTACACATGATTATAAAATCAGAAGTTAATAAAATAGTAGTTTTTATTCAAAATTAAAGAAAATTACAAATTTACCTGTTTCTCACCTGTGAAATACAGGTAAAAATTACTTTTCAAAGCAAAAACCCCCAAAACATTAAAGTTTAGTATTTTCCCTGTGTAAATATATATAGTTTTATATATCTTACTATAAAAATGAAAAAGATATTGACATTTAAATATTTTTTGTTATTATTTCACAACTTTTTCCAGATATTCAGTGTTCAATGGTATTTTACATAGAAATATATATAGGGATGAAAGAGTTAAGCAAAAGACAGGAACGCAAAAATTCATGTAATAACACATTTTTTTTCGTCAGCCAGATTGAGTACAATTTTCAATAGTGTAGTGGCTTATGAAAAGAAAACAAAATAAAAGGAAAAAATAGATATGCGCAATTTCTTACAATTAATAAATTTTATAATATATTGATTTAAATAGCTACATGTATTGAAAATTAGTTTAATAAATGTATTTAAATTATAGGTGTTGCAAAGTAGAAACGTGCATCTGTGGGCAGGGTTGTTCGGGGTATTGACCAGTGTGCTTTTGCTTTTTTTATTATAGACAAATGCAATATAATCCAAAAAAAATATTCATTTGTACTGGCAGGTGTAAATGTATAGCGGGAAGGGGTTTATTGACAATAATGATACCATACTGTTCTAAGCAAATCTACAGCATTGCAGACAAGCAAAAACAAAATTCTATCTCTCTCTTTTTTTCTAACCTATAATAAAATGGATTGTTTTTGCATGTCCACAATAATGCAGTAATAAACATACGAAGTAAACACCCAACCCTATCCCTGCGCCTACTCGCTTGACACAGACATACACTTCTAATTTGTTAACCAATGTATACATGCCGAATATGCATATCAAGAGCTTTTAAGGAACCTATGGTCAATCTTCGGTAATTAGATATGTGTTATTGGTTAGAAATTTATTAAGACTATCAAAAATATGCCGATCTAAGTTAAATTAATTCTGTATAATTAAGTAGAGTGCATTCAACATAATTAAAATCAAAGTCAGAAAAACGATACATTTAGATGTATTTATGTCTGTAAAACCCCTAACGTTGGTCTCATTGTTTTAGTTCTAAATATTTTAACAGCGTGTTTCTCATGTTGGTTACATGTGTATATTTGGATCAATTTTATGATCTTTTTTGTTAAACGCAGACAAAAAAAATTGTTTTGCTTTATTACATATTGTTTATAACATTTTGCGTTGTCTTCAGTGCAAAAATAAAATAACGCAAAATGTAACAACGAAAAAGGACGTTATTGCATTTTGCGTTGATCTCCACGCAAAATGTAATAATGCAAAATGTAATAATTTAAAAATCATGTTATTACATTTTGCGTTGATCTCGACACAAAATGTAATAACGAAAAATGTAATAATCCAGGTTTATTACATTTCGCGTTGTTATTACATTTCGCGTTGTAACAAACCGCACTCTGTTCGAAAGAAAATGTTCCGGAATTTGTATGTGCGGTAGGTGTTGAAAATTGGCATATATTTCTTAATACTCAAAGTCATTAATAATGACTCTATAACATTTCATTTAGAAATACTATGTTATACATCATGAAAATAAAAATAATACCATATCCTCAAGTATATTGTGTAAAATAAGGACGAACAAGATGTGTTTGTGAAACACTATGCGCCCGGCGGCAACAAAAATCGAAAAAGCTATTTCTAGCATACTAGCATAGGTAACAGTCAAGGCCACAAGGTCATTGACCTTGGTGTCGTTTGAAAGATCTTGATAAGTGAAGTATGCACACCAAATATGAAGTCTCTATCTTTTATGGTTCAAAAGTTATGGTAAAAGGTACGAAAAAGCTATTTTTAGCATATAGGTCACAGTCAAGGTCACCAGGTCATTGACCTTGGTGTCATTTGAAAGAACTTTATTAGTGTAGTATAGATACTAAAAATGAAGTCTCTATCTTTCATGGTTCAAAAGTTATGGCGAAGGTTAAAGTTTGCAGACAGAAAAGCTATTTTTAGCATATTGGTCACATTCAAGGTCACAAGGTCATTAATATTGGTGTCATTTGAAAGCACCTAATTAGTGAAGTATGCATACCAAATATGAAGTTTTTACCTTTCATGGTTCAAAAGTAATGGCAAAGGTTAAAGTTTGGGGACAAACAGACAGACGGACGGACGGACGGACAGACAGACAGACAGACAGACAGACAGACAGACAGACAGACAGACAGGACAAAAACAATATACGCCTCGGATCTATCGATCCGGGAGCATAAAAAAGGGACCAAGCAACTATACTTAAATGGAAAACTCCTTTAAACTTCTAATACCATTACATGTTCCTAGACAAAAAATCAGCATGCGTTACCAGGGTCTTGAAAAAATTTCAAAATTTTGCATCATTCAAAGAAAAATAAACATAAATTACAGATTTTTTTCATCAAAAATTGTTTTAGAAGAGGTGTACAAATCCATATATAGACACTAAAGTATTGCACACAGGTCCTTCATTTATTGGAACTCTTCAACTCCAGGGAAGAATCCAATAAAGTTCAAACTATGTTGCGTGTGAACTTAAATTATACCGTCATTTAAATAAATGGCATAACTTATCTAAAGTTATGAGTGTGGTGAGCCTAGCATTAGAAGATATAAATATATTTATCTATACATGTACAGGTTAAAAATGAAAGATTTACAAAGAAGAACAGAAGTTCTGCTTACACAACGATCTGTTATTATCATTTAGTCATTCTTGGTTTTCATTGTCCCCCTCGTCCTCTTCCTCTCTCATTTCAAGTGTGCAACTAATAGGAGTACTGCTGAAAACATCAATAGCTATAACTTGTAATTCGGTGTCTCCAAAGATGCAACATACGATGAAAGGTTGCTCATTTTGACCAAATAATCCCATGAGCAGATTCATAGGAAGTGGAACTGGCAATTCTCCAAGTAAGAAGCACCCTTCGTCATCTGTATATTTTACTTCTTTTTCAGAAGTGCAGAATATTTTTACCGCCGCTAAGAGTTGAAAGGGGGAGGTTGGTGTACATACACGGCATGTTCTATGCCCTATCTCTACCTCTGTTCCCGCAGAAATTATAACATCGAAACAATCACGGCATCTATCTACGCCACCAACTGTGATTTTCTTCGCCTCTGGGTGAATCTCAGGATCGAACTCTGGGCAAATACTCATTCCATATGTAAACCGAAGAATTCTTGATTTTATTAGTGATGGATCATGTCCAAAAATCACAGCCCCTTTAACCACTGACAATCCTGCCTCTGGAGGCATAACAAATCGAACAGAATTAAAAGACTTCTTAATTTCTGTTTGTATATAAATGGATTCCGCTGAACCCCCTACAAGCAAAATGATTGATATTCCTTTTGTCTTCGGATTATCAACAACTTTTTGCATATGTTCAATTATTTCGTGAATAGACGGGTCAAAGAAGCTTTTCATGGTTTCTACATTTATATTTATCTTGTCTCTCTCAACTTTTGATCCCACCGATCTTTCAAATACTTCTTCCAAGGTTTTTCCTACGTTTTTTTCGCACAACTCGTTTAGGGTAACAGCTGGTATTGACATTCGAATTGGGTATGTTCTCTCCGAGGCTAATGACCTCTTTACTACCTCAAAATCGCGAAAAATATCGAGATAGTACTCTGGTTTCTCTTTTCTAAGTTTTTCCATGACTTTTTCTCCGAGTATGTCCGTGAGATGTTTTTCAAATTCCTTGTCAACTGCCGTCCCACCGCAAGCTCCCCCGGTAGCTTTGTGAATTTCTCGCAATCTTCTATTTTCCACTTTTTCGTGCACAGTTATATCAACAGTTCCTCCTGTAAAAACAATCTTTTTACTTAGTAATCCGCTTTAAAAGGTACAATACAAACGCCATCTATGGATGGATACTTTCTAGGACAGTTTTATCATATTTATTACATGATAATAATCACTCATAATAATAAATTCATGTAAGATGTAAAAACTTTGTTCATCTCCAACTAAAGAACTTCCAATCAATTGTTTTTCTGCATTATATATGCTGATCTCAAACATCGGTGATCTTGTCTTTGTTGTAATCAGGCAAACTGAACATCCGTTAATAATTCACTAAGTACATAAAGGCCTAAAAATTAACAGGAAAAAAACGTATGTCAGAATTTGATCTACTACTACGCAGTACAGTTAAGGTTACAAATGGAAATATCGGCGATTTTTTAAGATGAAAAATACATACTTTATTAGGATGCGCGATTCTTTTTAGGACTTCACTGGAAACATTTAGAATTTTTATTTAGACTTGTCACGTGATGTCGACGTCACAGGATTTTTAGCAATTATACTATAATATATGCAGTTTAGAGGTCATCTATAACTTCTAATATTGCAAGGGTATAACCAAGTTAAAAATCTTAGTTTAATTTATAATCCTTTTCAACACTATATGTAGTTTGTGGAAAGTGCTGCGAACCAATACAGATTCCCTTTTTTAATTGCTAAACTTTAATTTGTTGGACAGCAGGTTGAATATTTTGCTGGTCAACTACTTTAAATATAGCTATAATAAATTTATTTGCAGTATTTCATGAGGTTCGCAGCACTTTGAGGGTATGCCCTTGCAATAAATCGATTTATTAGGGCCCTTCCACTACCTTTCAATGAATCTGCATACAAACACACGACAGTACCACTTGTCTGGAGAATATACTGTAAACCTATTGCATTTGGCGGTGTATTCTTTTTAGCATTTTTGATGGAAATAAACTTCTGCTAATACAAGTACAACGAGAAATGTCTTAAACATATATACATTAAAAAGAACAGTAAATAATGTGATATATCAAATCTATGCTAACTTGTTCAAAAATCAATTTCCGCCAAATATTGTACACACTTAATATAATACATTTACAGTATGGACAGTTAATAAATATAAAATGCTAAAATAGACATCGCATCCAACTTAACGGCCTTTTATTTAACTGCAAATAAATTTTATTTGAGAAAAAAAGACATTTTTCACTGTACAAAATGTTACTGTTACTTGATCAGCCTCTCACTGTGTACAAATCAGTGGCGGATCCAGGGGGGGGGGGGTTACGGGGATTGCAACCTCCCCCCCCCCCTTTGGATTTGCCAAAAAGAAAGAGAAATAAGAAAGTTCCAATTTTTTGTTGTGTTTCTACTATAGAAAATGTAAGGTGAAAGGCTAATGTTGTAATATATTAAGAAATTCGGTTGAAAAAAACAAAATAAAATCGCACCCCTTTTCAGGTTCGGAGATTTATTTTCCTTTCTTTTTCAAAAACTTTCTGGTAATGTATACAAGTACTTTTTCCCAGATTGATCAAAGTCCCACTTTCAAAAACTATACTCCACCCTGTATCGATATTCCATTGAGTTATTTAACTATATGTATGTATACAACGTACGTTTTAACTGTTTTCGCCTTCAACCCCCCCCCCCCCCCCCCCCTTTTGAAAAATACTTCAACACCCCTTTGAAAAATTTCTGGATCCGCACTTGCAAACTGCGTCATTTTTGCGAGATGACGTCACATTGACAAGTGCATTGCGATCGATGCATCGTTTATATACTGTTGTGTGGGATTCAACAAATGACAAAACTGCACGTAATATTAAGTTTTTATGTAGTATACAGCTATCCAGCTCTTTGAAATAGCATATAATTTCATTTTGTGGTATTTTGAAGACCTTATATTTTGAGTGACGTCATAAAAAAACATTTCCCTTTTCCCTTACAAAGGACAAGATAGGGTAACAGCCGAATCTGGCCCCTTATTTGATATAAAAATCAGAACACTGGTAAAATTGTGATAGTTTGAAGTTAAGGTAGGATTCTTCTCTGGTTTCTGACTAGATGAAACATTCAAAGTATATTTGCTTATATGTCTTATATATTGAGGTGTGAGGAATTTAAAAGACCATATTTTTCTTTCCTCATCACAATTGAACAACTTTAAGTAGAAATGGTAAACTGCGTTTGAAAACTAGCAGGGACTATATTTTTGGCGGAATGGTGGCGTATGAAAATGTCTTCTTTTCTGCCTCTCAAAATTATAATAGAACAATGAATTTATTTATAATTTGTACACAATCGAAGACTTGGAGAAATTTTCAAATGTAAGATAAATTAATAATGAGGGACTAAACTTTCAAAATATATCAAATAAATATGATTTTCCAAACAAACTAGAAATTTGTTAGCTTTTAAACGCTTCCTATCAAAGTGCAGATTTGAGCCAAAAATCCATAAAAAGTATTTTTTCTCTCTTAGTAAACGATCAAAACTTTTTGTTTTTGTATCATTTTGTACATTTATAAGACTAATTTATCATATGTGAAAATAAGAAAAAGTTAAATACAGGAAGCATATGAAAATAACTAATATATCCTTAAAAATTAAGAAAAACAGAGAAAATTCGGATTAGCCAATATCCAGTTAAGAGTCAGTCCGCGAGAAAACCATGCAGAACTGTCCAAATCGAAGGTTGTCATATCTTAATGAAATTTGGTGGGTAGTTTGACTTTATAATATGTTATTCAAAAATGGCCAAAAAAATTCCCATCATTCAACATGGCAGCCGTAGGCAGCGCCAACTCCTTTTTGCACATTTAAGTATAAGTGCACTTAAAAAATTCAAGAAAAATGGTAAAATTCACATTTAATTTATTTTACTCAAAATTAAACTTGCATTTCCATTAAGGTATTTTTAAGTAACATAAGACTATGTTCTTTCAAAATTGACATTTATCATAATCAAATATGCAATATATCAAAGGGCAGACAACTCTTGAAAATTGGCATGATGCCAATTTTCAAGAATTGCCAAAAGCATTACAAATTTAATGCCCCAAATCTTCCAAGACCAATCTTTGAAATTAATTTTTTTGATTTTATTGTACAAATATAACTCTAAACATTATCTTTGCAAAATATTGAGCTTGGGATGTAATAAATAATTGAGATATGGGGATTTACATATTGCCAATTTTTGAAAAAATTGCTCAAACTCAAATGGGTTACAAAGTCAAATATAGTACTTAAAATTATAAACAATTTATGTTAGATATTGAAACATGTAACAATTTTCTTTGAAATAATAATTAAGATTGAAAAATATTAAAATTAAAAATTAAATTAAACTAAATTGTCAGAAATTACCCCTTATATGAGGATTAGCATTTTGCCAATTGTTTAGAAATGAAAAAAAGCTTACTTGCAATTTTTAAACAATCATATGAATATTCATGTTCCTTACATTTTGTATTCAGTAAGTTAGTATCTTTTTGATTAATAAAAGGGAAATTACAAGTATTTAAATTCAAACGGACTCCCAGTATCATTCATATAAATTTTGAGACTTGAACATATAAAATTTGAGCCTTCACTAAGTTGTTTGCTTTCTGCCAATTTTAAATTGGTACAATCTTTTAAAAATACTAACAGGAGATGTTATACAAAATACTCCATAAAGGAGTTCAAGAAAATGAAAGATGCTGGAGTTTACTCTTATTCCACTTCCCGAATCAAACAATTGTCTTCTTTTTTCGCTTGGCAAATATTCTTTTCAGGTAAGTTTAATTTTACCCCACCCCCTTCAAAATCGTTTCTACGTCACTGCTATGACTGCGATTTTCGTGAATAAGAGATTTTATGAACACGAATAAATCAACTTGAATTAAATAATGGGGGATTGAATTTATAAAATATATATTGTTTATAAATTTGTGTATTTGAAGTGATTTAATCTAAAATAAAAAATATAATACGTTTTCCGTTCCGTTTTCCGTTCCTCGTTTTAGCAACACCCCTCCAGAACCCTTATAATTTTTCATTATTTTATCCATTTCAATATTAGTATGTAAATTGTAGGGAGGTGGATGGGGTGAAACGATTGGGTACTAGATACACTCGTATATTTAATATCCTGACCTTGATCGATTGACACGCCCCCTCCCCCAACTGTTTTCAGTGGATACATATAAGTGATATAACATTTAAAAAAACAAACAATTTATCTCTTTCTGCAATGGTATTAATAATACCTTTATGGTTATTCAGAAAAAAGTATCAAATATTAATTTACAAAGCCTTATACAATTTTATTAATAATGTTTTGAAAATAATTTCGACAAAATTTGATAAGTCCCCCCCCCCCCCCAATTTGAATGTATATGAATCCAGTCTTTTATCATGTTTATCTGTTTATAGCCGGTTTTAAATTTTTACCACTTTGTACTGCAAACTGGCAAAGTTTTGGCTGCAGTAACGACTCATATAATCTTGGGGGGGGGGGGTAGTGCCCTCCCCTGAATAATTTTGCCAATATTTAACGTGGAGGGTCCTATATCGGTGGGGTACCTAAATCGGTGGCATCTCCTTTTGAGCTGATGATTTTTAATAAGAGATCAGTGCCGTATATTCCTTTCTGCTAATGTGTAGGCTTGTGTGAAGCCACATATTGAACCTGAGCTGCAAAGCTTTGGTAGACAAGGGGCTTCCTCTCGATAGGTATTGGGGGGGGGGGTCAAAGGGACCACTTTTGCAAACTCAGACATCTGCAATTTTAATTTGACCAGTGAAAATAATATTGTACATATATTACAGTTTATATCGTGATGTGAAGACCACTTAACAAAACTGAGAACTTATCCTTTTATTTGATATCCGCTTAGAAAATATGGAAACTTCCTTACTAAATAATCAACAATTTATATCGTGATGTGAAGACCACTTAACAAAACTGAGAACTTATCCTTTTACTTGATACCCGCTTAGAAAATATGGAAACTTCCTTACTAAATAATCAAAA